AAATTTTATGCAACAAAATGAATGATCTGTGCAAGTATAAAAATGTTGTTATACTTAACCTAATCCTAATAAAACAATATAATTAGTGGATTTTGTTCACCTGTATGTAAAACTTGTATTAAGTTTTAACTGATGTCTTTAAGATACAAACTACTTGAAACCAAACCATAGAAACAGCTTAGACTGCAATCCAATTAAGACATGTTGTATTAAACTAGCTCACACAGTAAGTTGCCCAATGCAAAGCAAGAACAACTGGCACACCGTGAGGCAACTGGCAACGATGCAGTTACTGAGCAGCAGTTTCGCTAGAATTATAAGCCATAAACATTTTAACACAATCAGGGATTTGAGGCGCCGCCGAGTCAATCTCACCGTCGGCAGAACACCTCGGAGCAGCTGGAGCAGATGGCGGCTCCTTTCGGCGAGCCTTGTTGCTTCTGCATTCTTGCAAAAACACAGATATTAATGTTGGAAAACAGATAAAAGTATTTTATGCTTTTGCATGAACCTGCATAAAAACTTGCGCGGGCACGTTGCTGTTGAGACAGGTGTGGCTGTGTGACCTCAGACAAGAACCTGACAAAAAAGTTATGCACTCAAGTCCTCTTCAGATGTGTGTCCTTTTTAAGTGAAATCATGTAAGAATGTCCATACAGTGCCTATACAAATATATTCATAAATGTTTCCACATTTCTTCATGATACAGCCACAAACTTCAGGGTATTTCAACTACCTCAGTCTGTCAGTTCAACTACTGACAGACCATCAAAAAATAGAACAAAAGTGTGAAAATAAAACACATGTTTTCAAAATTTCTTGCAAATAAAAGTCTAAGTGTGGTGTTCATTTGTGTTCTGCCAGTGTGAAAAAATACTTCATAAAACTATTTTTTGCTTCAATTACAGCTCCTAACATGGCCACAAATTCTCAGCTGTTCTAAATACATGAACAGTTTTATGGGTTTCGTCTATAAAACCTAAAAGAGCTGATTTGAGACAATCTATACTGAGTTCTTCATTTTCACCAGGCGCTCCCTGACAAGGCATACTCATCTCCAGGATGGATATCTTCCTTTGTTTCAACCATTACCTGGACATTTTTCATTTTCTCTATAGCTCCAAAAATCAGCAGTGACATCCAGCCTGAGTCTCCTGAATCATTGATGGTACTGTTACTGATGGATCCATCTTCGGTCTCATTTTTTAACAACTCCATTTCATTTTTTTTTTTTTTGGGGGGGGGGGGGGGAACTAGCACAGTGTTTTAATTTTAGTAGGTGCTTTTACACTCATATCTTGCCCACCAGGATTTAACGTGTCACATTTACTTGATTGCTATTTCTGTTCCTGCTGTGCCCTGTTTAAGGTTGATTCTGGAAGAGATTGTAAGTCATTTTTAGGTTATTTCTCCAATTAATTTAATTCTAAATATAGAAGCATGCAACAGAGAGTTGGTAAAAGTCTGATGTGGAGTTATCTTGAGCTGGTGATAATTTTTGAGAAACAAGTTAGACTGCATGCCCCAAACATTCATGAACTGCTTACTCTTCACACATACCGCCTCCCCTGGTAAAGATGTATAAAAGGCCCTACTAATGTAGAATACATTTAATCTTTTATTGCTGTATGATAGTTAGGCAATTGGAACATTTAAATCGAGTGCATTTATTCAGGAGACAAAAAAAAAATCCCACATTACTTCTTTAACCCATTCATTGGTATTAATATTTTGTACAGCCCTGTACAGCCCTTTCTGGGGAAAGAAACTGTCTCTGTGGCGGCTGTTTTTCGAGAATAGCGCTCTGTGTCATCGATCTGACGGTAAAAGTCTAAACACATTGTGGATTGGATGTGTTGGGTCTGCGGAGCTGTTAGCTGCCCTTTTCCTGACCCTAGTCCTGTACAAGTCCTGTATGGAGTGAAGGTCAGTCCTGATGATCTGCTCTGCAGACATAATTGTTCATTGCTGTCTGACTTTATGTCCTGTTTTGTGGAGGAGCCAAACCACACAGTGTTGGATGAACACCGGATAGATTAAGTAAGGCAGTGTAGAAAAAAGACCAGCAGCTCCTTTGGTAGGTTGCACTTTTTTTTCTTTTCTTTTTTTAAGCATTGCCTTCACTATCCATTGCAAGAACTACTTCCCTAATTTATAAAGATGAATACATATGTAGCTTACTTATGCCTGTGCTTTCTGAAAACATTATAGGTCTCCTTTAAAGCTAGAGTGTCCAAAGGGATACAAATTTATGTGTGCTACAAATGTACATACATAGGGTTTAGGCAAACTGTTTTTTGTTTTTTTTTCTGATAAGCAAAAAAGAGCACAGACTAAAGTGCTTTTATTATGCAAGCTGCACGGATCAGCCTTCAGAAACCCTTGACACAAACCTGTGATACCATTAAGTGGACTACATTTTCTATAGCTGTGCTTCTCCTCTGTTGTCACTCTATAGGAAGACCAATATTTTGGCCTTTGTTTTAACATGAGAACAAGAAGATCTTTGCCTTTTTTTAATTCTAGTTAAAAGGCGGATTTGATTTATTCTTTAGAGCTGGATCAAAGCTACTTCAAATTTCAAAGCTAATTTCTTTACTTCTCATTAGATTGTTTTGCATCTGATCTTCAATAAAAAGACTGATGTGCCACAATGCTTCATGTTGTATAGCACAGCAGTGTAACAAAGCTTATTTCTGACGGAGCAATCAATCGGATGATAAAATAATAGCCAAGGTCAAAATGCTGATTTAAATATATACTTTCTAATGGGAAAAAAAAATACTCATATGCTGCTATTGAAATTGCTAATTGCTGTGATAAATTTGCACTAAGCAGCTGTGATAAAAACAATTTGCATGGTTTTTATATAGTCTTGATAGTGCGTAAAAAAATAATTAAATAAAAAAATAAAAAAAAAATATATATATATATATATATATATATATATATTTTTTTATATATATATATATATATATATATATATATATATATATATATATATATATATATATATATATATATATAACCTTGATAGGGCATAAGAAGTGTTGAGTAAAATGATATATTGAAGCTAATTTTTAGGGTGTCATTGGATCATAATAGTGGTCAAAAGATCTGCAAAATATTGCTAAATAGCAACCATTAATTAACACCTGTTATTTGGCTGAAATTACTAAATTGTGTGCTAAATTGGACTTGTAGGCAAATTGGACCAAGTAGAAAAGTAGTTATGGTTTTTATTTTATGTTCTCATGGTCATAAATGTCTCTACCAAATTTTATTAAGATACTTCCACAAAATGTATTTTGAGGTATCAGTGCAGGCAAAATTGGAGGTGGCATTTAGATGGGCTGACGAGGCAAACACAGGAAATACTGCATGTATATATAGGTCTGCTCCTGGAAGCCGCTTAACTTTATATTATCAAGCCAGCCTCCCTGTGTAAGTAAAAAGCATTCACTTACAGATATGCTTTCTTAAATGATGAATGAACTGTGGTGCAAGTGGCTAGAAGTGCACAGAAATGGCAGTAACTGCAGAGCTCAGCGGGACTTTGTGACTTGGCATCCGCCTTGTGGTGTGATATTAAGGAACGTAAAAAGAAATCTGTAAACGGCTGTCTTAAAATTCTCACAGCATTTATCCCAAGAGTTGCTTGCTAACTGACTCACACAAACTGCAGCAGCCACGTGTGTGTATGTGTGTATCTGACTGTGTTCACTCGCTGAACAGACATTTGAGTGAGGCTTAAAGCATTTGTTTGCCAATCCAACTACCTTAATGGAAAGTACCACATTAAGCTGACTGTGGTTACACACCTACGTGTAAATATTGATGGGATTTTTAATTGGGTCTAGTCAGGCTCTACCAGGCCATCTCATAAATCATTTAAGATTTGACATTTAAACATAAATATAATAATGATAAATTATGAATCCTTATAAGGATGCATCATGTTTGCCCTTGAAAGACTGAATGTTTGCTTGCTTACTGTGAGATCTGTGCTGTGTGGTGGCCGCATGGCGAGCTGTGTAGGGATGCGCCTAATTTTAGGCAGCTAATGTGTGATGTGTTTGAGGCCCTGGCTCGGTCGGAGGTGTGATGTTTATCTTTGCCTCTGGGATTAATACTGACAGCTTTTTCGGCTGTGGAAAACTTCTAACCCCTAGTTGTAGCTAAATAAATCGCCATAAATATGCGGCCACGGCCACACAAACCCAGGATTAAGTTTCACTGAACCCTTGACCCAAATCTTTGAGGTTTTGCGCTTTACAGAGTGGAAGATCCTATGGGTGTCACTTCATGTTATTATCAGAAAGAGAAATGTTTAAATTAAACTGTTCAGCTCCAAGCCTCTTCACAAGTGTGGAATTGGATATGACGTGTCAGCTGGAGAATGCGGCACGGCATTTTACATTACTTGCTTCAACTTAAAACTCTTAAAGTCCATCCGTCCAAACTCATTTCAGCTGCTTGTATCCACAATCTATTTCTTTTGGTTGTAGATAAGGGTAGGAACACAGTTGACAGACAAATCAAGAGCTTCTCAGTTTATCTCAGCTCTCACCACAACAAATTGGTACAGCACCATCACTGCAGATGCAGCAACAACTTACACAATACTTCACAATATATGTGATTTCCAGCTAAGTCAGGTTGAACAAAAAATTGTGCCAGACAATCAATGCGATTTCAGTCTGAGGTTCAAGTTGCTAGAAGACCTTTTTTTTTTTTTTTACATCATGAAACATATGTTATTTTTCAGCTTTGCTTCCTTATTTCAACACCTTGCTGTTCACCCATTACTTTTGTACCACTTCAAGCTATTCCCTGAACTCGAACTGCTTGACTTTTCATTTAAAAACCGGAGTAAGTTGTTGTGTTGAAAACCTTTCGACCAGCAGTGTATAAAATGCAACGACATTTTATACACTGCTGTATAAAATGCAGTTTTATACAGCATTTTATACTCTCATCTGTGTCTTTCTGCTCCACAGATGGAAGACATCGTTACGCGGATACAAGATGAGAAAGCAGGAGGAGTTGCCATCCGGACCGTTAAAAGCTTCCTCTCAAAGATCCCGAGTGTGGTATCAGGTTCGTATTTGTGTGAAAACCATAAATGAGCATACACTGTGTGTGTGTGTGTGTGTGTTTGAATCATGCTTTAACATTGAGAAATGTTGCACCCTATAAGCTGCTTCTTCCTTACTAAGGGCTTATCTCACCTGATGCATTCATAACTTTGTCCTTGGTGTTGTGTGTTTTCCATCCTTGCATTCTTTATGCAAAACATATGAGTCACAATAAATTATACATGTATGACCTTCTGTGCTCATTTTCCATGCTACTTCTACAGAAGCATGTCTTTGCAGGGCAGTTTCATCCCGTTGTTGCCACCAGTTCGGTAAAGCACCTTCTCCCCTCTGTCTGCATGCCTGTTTGTGTAGGTGCTGGTATTCCTTTATGTTTGTGCTTCTGTGTAATAGTGAGTCACAAGAATAGGACGTGGAGGTTGCTCTGTCTCTCTGTGAGGCTGCGTCTGAGTCAGTCCTTCACATGGTTTCCTCCAGGGCTTTCCAGCAGCTTCTGCAAAGCGCCAACAGGGGGGCCGAATGTTTTGCTGTCCAGGAGCAGCGAAAGCAGCGCAAACCTGCCAACAACGCGCTATATTTAGACACCTACCCAACTTTGACAGCTTTGAAGAGAGGCAGCTTTTGTCTGAACTGTTGTGTATTTGTAATTGCGACACCCTTTCTGACCGTTGCTGTTCTCTGGGAAACAGGGGCAGACATTGTTCAGTGGCTGATGAAAAACCTCTCCATTGAGGATCCAGGTAGGCCTGCTGAGAGATGTTGAGTAATGAAAACGCAGAGAGATGGAAGACAATTTCATGTGCTTTCCCGCTCTCCAGCTGAAGCCATCCACCTCGGCAGTCTGATCGCGGCCCACGGCTACATCTTCCCCATCTCTGACCACGTCCTGACCTTAAAGGATGACGGGACCCACTACCGCTTTCAGGTACAGAGACGTCCGCCGCGGGGCCGTCCTGGGGCTTTGCGAGGCCTTTGAGTATAGAATAATAAGATGATAGTTGCTTATCAGAGGGATGTGTTTACTGCGTGATGCTAATGAGAGCAATCCTTCCTAAGCCTATTACTCATTCCACCAAGGTCGATACTATACAGTGCACCCCTGCTGCATGGTGCATCAGAGTAAGAGGAGGCAGCAGGACAGAGCCTGTGGGCCAGCAGTTGAGCTTGTCAGGAAGGTGTTTTTTTTTTTCTCCATCTTACCCAGTGCAATCCTTGACTGGGAAGCCCCAAGAAGGGAAGAGGAGCATTTATCTTTGCTCGTATTGGCCAAAATTAAAAGCCGTTATTATATCTGTGCAGGGAGGGCAACGCTTGCTCATTCAGCTGGGGCTAAAAATATTCCCTCTGATGGTGATGCAACAGGCCCACTAACCAGAAACCCTGAGAAGAATCCACTGTAACATGCTGGAAAATCTGCATAGCAGCACTGCAAGAGACTGTGACAGCCTTAAAATAGACACTAAACTGGTAGAGCACCCAGATTTAATGGCAGCTGTCCTCCAATGTTTGTCACACTTTTGTGCATTGTGTTACAGGCTGGCCTGTTTTATTCTGAGCTGACAGTTCTGAACGAGAGCAAGTTATTATGCCTCACACAGGTGCATTTATCAGCATCGGTCTTTCTCCTCATGCTAATTACCGTCATGACAAATAGTGCAAATGAAATATGTGGTTCTAATTCTGTCCTACTATTAAGAATGCATGACAAATTGAAGTCATCAATTATGAATGCACTCAGGAAGGAATTCTGAATCTGTAATTTCAGCTAGAATAGAGAGAAAAAAGTCTCCAATGCTTCATGGTTATCTATAGTAGCTAAAGGTATTTCAAAGATTGTGTTTGAACAAATAACTTGTTTACATTTTGATCACAATAAAGGTGAGGGAATGTACATTGATGGTCATACATCTACATACAAGAGATGTGCATAACTGTTTTTTTTTTCTTTTTTACCTTTATCAATACATTTGAACAAAACAATACATGTGTGGATATTTTTGAAGTGTAGTATATTTTCTTCTGAAATGCACACAGATACACACAGGCTCAGATATATTCATACAAACAACAATATTTGAGTAAATATCTGTTTTCCATGTTTCAGAGAAACCACATGCTTATTGGAGACAGCAATGAAATTATGGCATAATTATGACTGGATATTTGGATACATATTCAAACTGCTTTAGTTCTTGGTAAAGAAGCAGCTGTCAAACAAAGTTCACAAATATTTTTATACTGACATGGGGGAAATTATCTAACACAGAGACTCTAGAATGGTCAGAACCTCAACTACTACTTTTGAAAAGTGTCACCTTCCAAGAAAATGGTACTTTTTAATTGACTCTACCATTTCGGATGGGAAGAACGGTCAAATATCCAGCGAGAATACTAAAATACAGAATAATTTAATGAATAAGAAAGTCCATGAAAATCCAAAAGACAGAAGAAATTGAGAAAAACCTGAGAACCACGAGCTTACAGACCACACAGTAACTTAACCAGGAAGACAGATAATCATAATACAGGGGAGCCCAATATCTATAATCCACAAATACTTGAGATTTCTTCAAAATATTTGCGGATTGATAGCTTTGCAGACGGCAGTCAGTAGCATGTCCAGTAGCATTGATATTTCAGCTTTCCAAGCTACATTTCCCCCCCAATATTGTAGACTAAATACTGCTACTAGGCCAATTTTCCTCAGGCAATTTGTAGTTACTGTAAATTGGTGAATGTGTGAATACTGAACTGCAAATAGTCTATCTAAATCTAAAATCTAAAAATATGAAAAAATGAAAAACAAGAGTACAAGCATCTCAAAAATTGATCCAATATGAAACGCCAACAGTAACAAAACCGCATAATCAAAGCATAAATCCAGGTTACCAAGAATCACGGCAGAATTAAAATTTAAACTTGTGTACCCAATTCTTGTCTAAAACACTGCTGGAGGTTGCATATTGGTAAAGTGGGATTTCAAATGTATCATTGAAAGTCTAAATTAGTCTGTCATTCGTAGATGAGTGTGTTCACAGTTCTGACTAGAACTGTTCTGAAAGTGGTGAAAGGAATGGACAGAGACTTTCTTTAGGTTGTAAAATAGAAAACGAGCCATTTAAAAAAAAATAAAATAAAATTCTGTGTATTCTCAGTCTCCATACTTCTGGCCTTCAAACTGCTGGGAACCCGAGAACACAGACTATGGTGAGTAAAAGCTGTCGATTTCCACCTCCTTCTCAGAACCTGCTAAGATTTCCCTGATGCCTTCAGCTGTTTCTTTCTCCAGAGCTTAAACACAGCTCACACTGTAGAGCTGCTGTTGACACTCACAGAGTATTGATCCACAGGGCTCTTCCTTGTAATGTATCTGGCCCTGAGGAACATCCACCAGAGAGAACCCAACGGGATAGGATTAGCCTAACAAATCAAGATGCATTGACTGCTTTGACCAAATCTCTGTCTCAATGGATAGCCCTCTTGTTTTTATTTTATTTTATAAGACAAGTAATAGCCTTCCAGCTCAAATTAGATAAGCATTGGTGTTGCTATAAACATCTGAGATATTGGTTCAGAAAAATAGATTTGAGACAACTGACCTTTCTTGTAAAATCATTTGACCTTTTTAAAAATGTGATTATTCCTTCTCTCTCTCCCCTATGGCCCCGCCCCCAGCCATTTACCTGTGCAAGCGCACCATGCAGAATAAAGCCAGACTCGAGCTTGCAGACTACGAAGCAGTAAGTACAATGTTATTTTAGCTTAAAAACCCACCAGCAAGCTTATTGCAAACAGGATAGATCTTTACTCATGTCTTCTGGGGTTTGGAAATGGCATCAAGCCATTATGAATGGTTGCGCTCCAGGAGATCCATTTGATGGCAGTAATTTCCTGGCCACGAAACGGATCCCCAAAATACCTGCAGGACTATTTGGCATCAGCAGATCAATATGACCCCCAGGAGGCACGTTACCGTAGTGCTGATCTCTTGCTGTTACACAGAGTAAGCTATGTACTTGCACTTTAATTTTCCAAATGACTCTGCAACTATTGTCCAGTACACTTCCTTCCTGTTCTATTCAGGTCACTTTATGCCTCCAGGCATTGTTGCTCTCACTGTTAACATGCCTGCTGGTCGGAGTTTTCCTTTTTGTAATGAGGTCACTTACTTTAGCTTGGACAGATGCTTTTTTTTTTTTTTTTTTTTTTCGCATTAACAGGGGCACACGTGATTACGTTTGTTGACATTTAAAAGCTATCTTTTGTGTTTCTGCAGAATGTAAAATTGAATCTGAACTTACATTCAAGCTTCCAGTGGTGATGTCCAGAAGTTGAACGGCTTCAGTTACTGGACATCACTATGCAGCAATGAAACTTGTCCAAAGAACACATCTAAGGAACAACATCTGCTTGCATGTGCAGTGGAGCTGCTTATGAAGAGCTGAACAAATATCAATGCCCCCTGAACCTTTTGCAGATCTTTTCTTGCTACAAGCTTTAACGCATTTTATAGTGATCGCATTTGAAGAATAAACACCAAGTGGTGCACATTTGTAAAGGAGAATCAGAATTGTTTTCAATAAGCTTTGCATCTAATGTATGAAACAAATGGTGTGGATTTGTGTTCACTCGCCTTTACTCTGATACCCCTAAATGAACCAATCTATTTCCTTCATTAGTCTCTTGATTGTTAAAATCCACCTGAGTGTATTTTAATGTCATTGTCAATGCAGCTGTCCTGTGAAGGCTGCAGAAGAAGGCTAATGTTGAAAGAGAGCTAAATAAGTCCTGCTTGCAGTTTGCCACAACACAGCAGAACAGTGGAGAGTGCTCTGGTCAGACAAAAGCAAACCTGAGCTTTTTGTTTTGTGTGAGGGAGACAAAACCTTAACATCACCAAGAACACACCACGTAATGTCACACTGGTTTTTGCAGTCTCATACTAATGGATGGTTTTCTTTTGTAGGGGTGGGGAAACTGGCCAGCACTGATGGAAGGAGAAGAATACTCCTCAAAGAAAACCAAACCAGTTAAAGGCTGCAGCAGACTTAATGCTGCAGCAGAGGGTTTATGTTGTGGTGTTGATCAAACTATATTCACATGCTAAAATGTCAGACAGAATTCATACGATTGTCAACGTATGTTGCTGGACTGAACTCCAGCAACGTTCTAAAGAAGAATGAAGAATAATTTTAGTCTTCAGATGTGAAAATCTGGCAGAGACATACAACAAAGTTCTTGCATTAATAGATGGTTTTACACCCACATCAATAATTGACTAACAGCTGCTGATTGAAAATGTATGCATGACTTTTCAGTGGTCACTGACACCAAATCTTAATACAATACACTAATGCTTGTAGTTGAAATGTGATAAAATGTAGAAAGATTTAAGGGGTATTAATAATTAATACTTCTCCAAAGCACTGCACAAGAGAATATTTAAATATTTTAAGGTTTGGCAGTAAAAAAAAAAAAAAAATCTTAAATTCTCCCCAAACGCATTATTCAAATTGCGTCTTGCAGGAGAACCTCGCTCGGCTGCAGAGGGCTTTCGCCAGAAAGTGGGAATTCATCTTCATGCAAGCTGAGGCTCAAGTCAAGTGAGTGCATACGTCAATCATGCTTCGTTTCAACACAGCACTTTGTGTTATTCTCCAAAAAACATAACAGCAATTTCTCCTGGATTCAGTCACATGGTCTGGATTGTTTTGTGAGGCTGCTCTCTGGTGGCCGGCAAGTGTAAGCGCAAAATAATCCCAGACAGATAGTTAGGACACTCTTTCCTCTGTTGTCAGTGAAAACACAATGGAAAAAAATGCACAACGTCAATCACTGGCTGCTGTTTGACAGAAGTGAAGTCAATACAGGAAGCCATGTATCGCGGGAGGACGATATGAAGCAGGGGCCTATCAGTAAATGTCTGTGATGTAAGGGGAAGGTCTCTCCAGAGCAGATAGATCAAGACCTATACTCCTGAGGTTTTTGCTCTTTAGACTGCAGCTGTCAGTGAGGAGAGAGGAAACGTCTGGATTTATGCAGTCTGATCTCGTGTTTCAGTCCTATATGGTCTATGTGTGGGCTGTCTCACCTGCATGCAGGATCGACAGAAAGAAGGACAAGGCAGAGAGGAAGATCCTCGACAGCCAGGAGAGGGCGTTCTGGGATGTTCATCGACCAGTGGTGAGTTAAAGAGAAAGGAAAACAACACAAATGTCAGAGACGCTGAGCACACAAAGGAAGCAAAGCAGAAAGTACGTCAAAAATGAAAAGGAGAGAGATCAGAATCAGACGTAGCGCCAGTGTCTTTGTAAACAACACATGCTCATGGAACAGTGACCCGAACCGTCATGTTTCCTGCTGTTTCCCACAGCCAGGCTGCGTCAACACCACGGAGATGGACATCCGCAAGTGTCGGAGAGAGAAGAACCCACACAGGGTGAAAAAGGTGACAGACTGAGACAACATAGGAGTGGACGTCCAGCTTTACTGTCCCAGACTTAATTATAGAATCATTTTCTCTAAAGTAAATGCTGAAATAACAGATCACGTATAGTTTATACAGTGATGTCTTAATTATTTACATATCTAAATTACATCTTTAAATTTGAGACGTTTTGTAACTTTGTTTTTACACTTTCTTGGGAAAGTATGAATGATGATACCCTGTCTTTGTTAGGTGATGTTGAAACACAGATGTGGAAGTATTTTAATGCAAATTCTCAAACATTCCTTCCTTGAGAAAAAGCCAGTGAAGATGGTAAAAGACTGTCTTTATCTACGGTGAAATAAATCCTGGATCAACATGGACTGAAAGGCCACGCAGTGAGGAAGAGGCCAGTTCTGCACGTATAACTTCAGACAACGGGACTACAGAGATTCTGATTCAATATCAAACAGTTAGAAAAAAATTATACTTTGAAATCAAGAAGATATTTGGTTCAGAAACATAGAAAGGGGGGGAAGCAAAAAAAACAAAATATAAAGTTGACACTACCAGTGGTATTAATACAACACCATATCAGTCTATCATTTTCTCTCACTTTTTCCAGTCGGTCTACGGAGTGCCAGACGACGGCCAGAGCCAACCAAGTCCAATCCACATCAGTTCCCAGCCGAGCAGGAAGCCCACCAAAGAGGATGTTCAGAAGGAGGTAAGTGTGACATTATGCTCAACACTTCATTACCACCAATCTGCCTTCCTCATCCACCATAAAGTCAATCAGAGACTGATGAGACGCTCCCTTATTAAGCCCCTTTTTTCTCTCTCTTCGTCCGCCCTCAGATAACCTTTTTGAACATCCAGCTTGACAGACACTGTATGAAGGTTTCCAAAGTGGCCGACAGCCTGATGACCTACACAGAGCAGTTCATGGAATATGACCCCTTTGTTTCGGGCGTGGAGCCCTCAAACCCATGGATTAGTGACGACGCCACCTTCTGGGACATGGAGGCAAGGTGAGGCTTGCTGCTGAGAACCAGGGGATTGGTGGATTTTGGCCATTAGTCCAGAATAACTGGGGTTATTTGAAGTGAGGGAACTGCTGCTACGTGTTAATTCCAGCATTTCCGAATGTGTACCGACATCCCAGTCTCAGATTTTTTATTTTAACTATCTCCTCCTCTAATTTGTTTCCCATTGAGCAGCCGTGATCCCAGTCAGCAGCGGGTGAAGAAGTGGGGCTTCTCCCTGGAGGAGGCGCTGAAGGACCCGGCGGGACGGGACCAGTTCCTGAAGTTCCTGGAGTCAGAGTTCAGCTCAGAGAACCTGCGGTGAGACTTCTCCTCGGCGCTTCACGAAGATTTTCCAGAAAAGCTTTAAAAATATTCGATTCACATTAAAATCTTGTGAAACGCGCTGTGGTAGGTTCTGGATGGCGGTGCAGGATCTGAAGCGACGGCCACTCCAGGAGGTTTCCACCAGGGCCCAGGAGATCTGGCAGGAGTTTCTGGCCGAGGGAGCGCCGAGCTCCATCAACCTGGACTCTCACAGCTACGAGCGGACCAGCCAGAACCTCAAAGACCCCGGGCGATACAGCTATGAAGACGCTCAGGTTGACTGTGTGGCTCTCTTCACGGCTGCATGTGACTTCATGTTTTCATGAATGTACACACACACACACACACACAAAAAAAAAAACAAACACCAGAGAAATATCTACTCAAAGGAAAAAGCCTTTCACTGTAGAAGTGACTAAGAGGGGAGGGGAAATGCTGGGTAAATGGAAAGAGAAAAAAAAAATGACGGAGTGTGTTTGTGGCAGGGCCTAATGAGGCGAGTAATACCATGAATAGGTCCTTCACTCAGCTCACAGTGGATTACATTGGTCTTAAAATGCACTGGTGATGTGTCATGCGCAGTGTCTCTGACTGGCAGCACATCACTCAGTTCTGCTCTGCTGTTGGCAGCAACAGCTCTCATTCATACACACACACACACACACACACACACACACACACACACACACACACACACACATGGACTGGATCAATAAACAAAACCTCGCAAAAGTGCTTTCCCGTTTCTCACGTTACAATCTGAGACTGCATTGTATCTTGTTGGGATTTTATGTAGTGTATCAACAGAAAGCAGGAAATAACTGTGAAGTGAGATGGGATGAATTTGTATGCAGCACACTTTACTTAATCCTTAATAAAATCTAGCGCATCTTATTCTGCCTCAACACACCGTCCCTATACATCCAAACAAGTTGGTAAGTTCAGACTTAAATCTAACTTAAAATAATTTGTGGCAAAACTTAAAAAGTGATGAACACTTTTTATCTAGTCAAAGCAGAAACATTGACTCAGGGTGTCTGCATCAACGTCTCCCTAATTATACATCAGTATTTTTCTTGCTGGTTTCATGCTACACAAATTCATCTTTTTTTTTTTTTTCTTTTCCTGCTGCAGGAGCACATATTCAAGCTCATGAAAAGTGACAGCTATGCACGCTTTTTGCGATCCAACATCTACCAAGACCTCCTGTCAGCCAGAAAAAAGGTGAGTTCTTCTGTAGCCCTGATTCTGGCCTCTGCTCCACATTTTGCCTGCATTTCTCAAACTAGTTTGATTATTTGTTTATAATTTAATAATAACGCTAGGCTTGAAAAAGAGAGTGTTGGGTTTTATCCTTAAAGTTCTGCTTTGAGCCTAAAGGATTTTATGTCTTATGAGAATTCTGAAATATTTTGGTGGCAAAAAATGTTATCAAGCTGCTTAGTATTTGTTCAAATTCATACTTATGTGCTAAAATCCTGGAATTAGTCCAAGTTCAAATTACAAATTTGACTTGTGTTAGTCTAAGATAAATATAACATGTTTCACATGATTTTAAAAGAAAGAAAAAAGAGTCAAGAATGCAAAAAATATGTATTTTAATTAGTAAAGGAGAACAATCCAGTGACAAATAGAAAAAATACTTGTAGTATCTGCACTTTTAATACTGGCATAGGTAAATGTACCTCCCCCTTTCTGCAAAGGAAGAGTTACATTTTGTGGGATATTGATGGTTTCACATGCAAAACCTGGTTCTTACACACATGCAAGAACAAGATTTGTATTAATTGTAGTAAGAAACTTTTTCCTCTTTATGACGCAGTTCATTGAATGATATTTTAATATTTCCTTTTAGAAACCAGAGGTGCAAATCAGATCAAAACAGCTTGTTGCCATATTATAAGCTATTTCACAGACCGTCAGGTTTTTATGTAGGAGGTTCAGTCTTTTTTCTTCAAAAAACAAATCTTCTGTTTCATTATTTTCACTCCGTAACATTCTCAGCAGTGTACATCAAAAATAGATGTATATTTCCAGGACCAAAGTGAAGAAACATGAAAAAACTAATTCAAACATCAAGGCATAACAAATCATCGTCAACCCAAGAAGAAAGTAATAAATCAGCCCTTTAAATCAGTTTGGTTTCATCATCATAACACGACTTGCCGTCATTCCTTATATGGTAATCCAGGTTGCTGTCTCATGAAGACCCGTCATGTCAGAAAAGTGTATTTAACAATGACTTATCAACTTGATAAACAGCAAAAAACCCCGTGATGTTTCATTTGTGATGTTTTATTTGTGTGACCTAAACTGTTTTTAGGTTTTTGGCACCATAAAGGAAAAAAAAATCCCCTTACTACGAAGACGTTTTGATTTGGTTTTGGCTATAAACACCCCATATAAACATGCACATAAACATCCTTTCTTTCAGGAATAAAGGTAAACCATGTTAATAGTTGCAAATGTTGTAAATAAAGCCGTGCTTATGAGCCTCTTTCTGCCTATTTATTAGGGCAGTGATGCTTTACCAGAACATTAATTCAGCTTTTACATCGGTGAGACTGGAGTGTGATTAAAATGTAAGAGCAGAGAATCTGCTCAAGCATTCTAAGAACCAACGGAAGAAACAAACTCAAACAAGACATCTTTTATAGAGCGATGTATTGATTGATGTCAAAAACAACCTGTTTTGATTTGTCTATTGCTGTAATCTGTGCTGCCTGTAGAGCTTAGGCTCTCAAAAGAAAACCTTCTTAGCTGTTTAATTGTGTAATATGGAGCTTTTCATCAGATCACAGCTTCCTCTGTTCATGCTAGCCTTTCTGCCCTCTCTCATTTGGACACTGCTCCCTCTGCTGGCCTTTCACTGATCCTACACCCTTTTCCCCAAATGTAACCCCATCTCGCTCTGCCTGCACTGGGCCCTCGCTTTCTGCAATGCCTGGCCTCCTCTTTTTTTTTTATTTTATTCCCTGCGCTATTGACACCACTGCCAACCCTCCTCCCGTCAACACCCATTCCTGACCCAAACACTCACCCTGCTTCCCCCCCTCCCAAAACAGCAGCCAGCAGACACTGAACAAGGTCGTCGCACCTCCTTGGAGAAGTTCACCCGCAGCGTGGTAAGTCATTTGGAGCTGCGGCTGTTCATATCACAGAAACCACACTGGCTGGCTCACTAGCAGTGGCTTTTGCAATTACAACCATATTACACTCTGTTGTGGCTTTCTAAACGTGTGTAAGCATGTGTTTGTGTGAACGAGAGATTATTACAGTGACGTGAGTGATTGCACCAAAGTAAATCTCTGGGTCCTCCCATATTAGATCAATCAGAAGTTTCCTCCATAAATTTTTGATTGTATGCATTTCTTTTGGTAAACGTGATTTCATGAGTTTTGATATATTTTAAGAGACTTTAAACAATGATTAAGTCAAGGTATTTTTTTTTACTTATGTTAACAAATATAATTCATTTTCTGTCATTTAAAATAAGTGTTGATAATGAAGCAGTTTTATTTTTTTATTTAAGAAAAACTGTGGTTGTAAAATGAATTACATTTTTAGAAAAATAAGGTCACAGTCAACTAAACTACACACAGAACATAAGATGTGTATATATTTTAAAGGAAATTAATTTGCTAATTCATTATTTATTTTTTATATTTAACCTATATACATTAAGCATGATGTAACAAGCATTCAATTAATTTTAAACATTTTATTCTGCTTTACAATTAAATTAGCCATACTAGAAATAGATTCTTTTTTTTTTTTTACTATTTTTTGAACTGTTTTGTGCTTGAACTTTGCCTCAACTCCATTTTAAAAACACTGAAACATATAGAAATATTGTGAGCAAAACATTATTGTGTATATATATATATATATATATATATATATATATATATATATATATATATATATATATATATATATATATATATATATATATATATATATAGTGGTGGACATTTGTATGTGACATTGATAAATAAGATAAACCTTTTTTGTTCCAAACACAAAACCTGACAGATGCTGTAATACCCATCCCATTTGTAACTAGCAGCAAGTATTTAACTTCAAACATTGATACCCACTCATTCAATTTAAAATATACCTCAAAAGTACCTTTTAAGCACCTTAATCTGTGTACTGATTCACATTCAAGTTATATCATCCTGGCCTCTATCTGATAGGTGACTGCAACTTAATATATAATACATTTTTATCCTTGATGAACATCTGGAAACAGAAGAACACAATAGAAAATTTGAGGTGGGAAATGTTTTAAGAGATTAGAGGCTTTGTAGTTTGTAGATTACTTCTCCCATCAGCATATCAGACTCCTAATGATGTCTTTGTTATTATTACTGTTTTATTTAACTTTCCAGGGGAAGTCTTTGACGGGAAAGCGTCTGACAGGCCTTATGCAGTCATCCTGACACAGCCTGTCCTGGAGAGCCACGACCAGACCCTGCAGATGGGCTGACAGTCACACAGGGGCCGGGGCAGGGGCGCAGACAGCGGAGCCGGGGTGCACAGGGCTGCTGCGGAGGCTCTCGGACACTGCTTCGAGGTCTGCTGCTGTTCTGCTGCTGCAGTGCTGGGTCTACTGGGCCGAACCACCCAAACAGAACCACTGCGGAAGAGACGATGCCTACAAGACGATCCTCAGCTAACGAATCACACGGCATGCGGTGTAAAAGAATAAGCACATTCAAACTAATACTGCCCTGTCTTTGTCATCCAGAACGGCAAACGGTTGTCCGGCTTGACTTGGCTTATTCATTTTATTGTTTTCATATTCTTTCATTTTTGTTTTCCACAATACTTTGGGGCCATAAATGTTAAAAGGAGGTGTGCATCTGTTCTCACAAGGCAGTCAGCAATAAAAACAAACAAATCTGAAACAATGAAGAAAAGTCCACCCAGCTTCTTTTGATATCTGTAAATCATCCATCATAATGTCTTTATTGAAGTAAGTAAGAAAAGTCTGGTGATTAGTAAAAGTTCAGACCCCCAATTCATATAAAAAGCAGATTCTTCAATCTTCATTACATTCCAAAATCTGAGATAAGGGCTTAATGTAGCAACCATACGGCACTGATGCATGTTTAATCCTGATGTCCTTGTTGAGAGTCACATTTTAGCAGCGCTGCTTTGTAATGAGACCTGTGCCTAGAAGGTGGGTTTGGCTGACTGCTCGTACACTTAACCAACTCCAAAAGTCTGTGCGAATACCTTAGAGGCCTAAAAGCGTGACTCACTAGTACGGTTAAGTGAAACATTGTGATTTGAGCTTTTAGTGTTGACATGGTCTGTGTGCCGTCGCAAAAATAATTAGAAAATAAGATCCGTCTGCTGCCGGGGTCAGTGTTTTAGAGCATTGCTGAAAGTCTTCAGTGCCATGGGAGCTTCCATCTAGTGGTGCATAATAAACCACAGGACCGTCAACAGTGTTCCAGGACTCCACTGTGCTGTGAATACATCATGTTAAAAGATGATACAGGTGCATTTAAATAAGTTTGAACATAATGAAAAAGTAAATGTATTCAAGTAATTCAGTCCAACCTAACTACAGTGACCTGGAGGAGGGGAATGAGGCAGAACACATGAAGCATGGGACGTCACGCCCTTGCATGTCCTAATTATGCTTTTAGGCAAATAACATGTGACCAAAGAACCATAATGCTGCCATTGTCACAGTGATTCTCTGGTACGTCTGAAACAGGCTAACTGCAGCCAGTGCTCTTTGTAAGCCTGTTTGTCTCATCGGTGTTAGTCAAGGCTGTCTGAATGGCAAATCTTCCCATAGAGCGGTGACTGTCCTGTGCTCTTTGGAGCTTCCTGTTTCAGGAATTAGCATCAAGCTAAAGCACTCACAGCAAAAGTCAGCCAAGGGTGTGATATCTCATATTACATGTGTGGTACCGAGTGACAGACTGACTGGAAACTTGTTTGTAGATTCATTACACACAGAGGTATACATTTTAAGTATTTATTTCCGTTAATTTGATGAATTATTGTGGATTGCCAGTGAACTCCCAAATTTCATTTTCTCTCAAATTAAATATTTGAACAGTATGTTTAGAACAAATTTTTCAAAATGGACTTATAACATAGTATGTGCTTACAGTATTTAGTCTGGGGTATTTTAGCATAAATTACTGCGTCAATGAAGGATGGCATGGAGATAATCAGCCGCCGGAGTCAGGTAGCCCAGGTTGCTTTGATAGCAGCCTTTAGCTTGTCTGTATTGTTGGCTTTAGTGTCTCTCCTCTTCATATTGATAAATGAGGAAGATTATTCTGTATTAAATTTAAGATAGTCCTATTCACTGGGACATAAAACATCATCTCCTGAAAACTAGTCAGAAAATGGAAGCATTAAAAATCTCCTCGCGGATACATTCACTAATTGACACCAGGATATGAAATGACTCCCCAAGTTCTCACTCTGTGGAAACTTCACTATTGTGAACTTCGTACCTTGGATTGTGTGGCTTCACTCTAAATTTACTTTAACCTTGAAGGAGGACTTTGGCTTCCTGAGCCCAGAGTTTTGTCCTGAGCCCAGATAAGACATTTCTGAAATTGTCTGTGGTTGAGGACTAGCTTGAAAGTTTCAGATTATGTCCTGGGTTCATCTGTGTGTGATGGCTCTCAAAGTACAAATTTCAGCTGTTGTCCATGTCTTGAGAATCTTCTCCAAATCCTTGAATCTGCATTGCTTCATTGTTTTGGTTATCACTGTTGTCAATCAAAGATTTTCCTTCCACTCAACTTTCTATCAATGTTCTTTAACACCAAACTTTCCTCATTTTGCAAGCTACCAATAACTGTCGAATGGACAATAATCATGTCAGCACTCTTCTCTATGGCTGAGTGGGCAATAAAATAACATTTCAGGGTTTTTTTTTTTGTTTGTTTTGTATTATTCTCTTTTGAACTTGGTTTTATGCTAACTCGTAATCTTAACAGAAGCAAAGATCTGTGTGTAATGAATCTATTCTGGTTATATTCTAATTATATTCTTTGATGACTTGCTGCCCTGTGAAGGACATCTTCTGCTTTGTTGCACGGATATCTCAAGTGTCATTCTCTGAAACAATTACCCATTTTTATTTCTCTCTGTCTGATAACTGTCGAGTGTTTGTCATGTGGAAAATGGTGCATGTTAGAGCACGACGAGGTGCAGGGGACAGAGCTGGAGCAGGACTCACTAATGAATGGACATCTGACATCTGAAATGGATTGAAGAGGAAGCAATGAGGTCCCTTTGCTCCATTGTGGCTGCTGCCTTCTTCTACACACAAGAAGTGCTGGGACACATCTCCCCCCGGAGGCCACTGACTGCAACAGTGAAAAATTAGAACGCGCCGTTGACTAAGTCTCATCGGTTATTTTTTAGTAGTCATTGCAATGCACTGTACATGTCATGACGCTAATTATTCTTATTAACCTAACCCAGTAACCTCCTAAATGTAAGGTAGAGAGATGCTTAAGTCGAGTCTATGTACCAAATGTTATCCTCAGCACAAACATGGTGACACTGCGTGCCAAGTGCGTTGTAAATTTAAAAAAAAAAAAAAAAAAACTGGTTACATTTCATTATCCGAAAGCACACTTTAGTATGATGCGAGCACATTACTATGCATGTTACATATTCAGGGCATTTTGTGCTTTTAGTTTCTCGATCAGCAAGATAACTACTGGCACTCTAAAACACTCAAAGCACTTGTTATCTGTTCACGGGTACCAAATAATAAAAATCTCTGGACCTGTCTGCTCTCTGCTGCTGTTTGCTGTTCTGACTCATGGAAGAAAAATAAGCTGGAAGAGTCTCGCATTTACACAAAAAGCAAAAAATATACATCAAACAACACGAGAACAAAAATCAATATTTCTGTAGTGTGTTTGAATCTCCTGTTTCAGTTTTACAGTGTTTGTTCTGCTGGTCGTAGCAACCCTGCAAATGCGTAGCAAGATTCCTCTTTTGCAGTAACTTATGCGAACTCATTTTTTTAATTTTTACATTTCTTTTACATATTTACTGTGTTTTTGATTATCCTCAACAGTGAAAAAAGAAAAAAAAAATATATATATATATATATATATATATATATATATATATATATATATAATTTTATTTCTATTCAAAATATCCTGGTATTAGGGCTTATAATACCATGAAGTCTTTGGTTCAAATATCCTTTTGAAGACAAGAAGACAAGAGTCGCTGCTTCTACATAAACTACCCTTGGCTGATTCCAGTGATTTGTTCTGCCAAAGTCTGCAAATGGTGAGACATGATTTATATAATGAACCATCATTACATCAATTGTTTTATTTTATTTTGCTCAGATGTTCGAGGGGTCAGCTAATTAGCCTTTTTCTTGCAGCCATTTTCTAATTTATAGAAATCAACACACCACACAACATACATTAACTTGAATGTACGTTCTTGAGTTGCCAAGAGAAATAAATATCTCTGTGTGATGTAATATTTACACCACGGGGAAACAGGAAGACATGGATTATAAGTAAAAGTTGAAAAAGTAACAACTATACAGGGAAAAAAAATGCTTCATTTACATATTTATGTTTTATAAGAACTGTAAGGGTTGTCATTAAGGGTGGCCTTGATGGATTTATTAAAAACAATTACTTGCTATGGGATTTTCTTTCTTGCCATGAATAAACTAACTCAAATTAAGGTTGTATTATTTTATCATTTTAAATATACTAGTGCAATAAAAGATTGATCTATTTCAATGTAACACTTTTTGCCAATGAAGGTAATGTATCCTTAAAAAAAATTAAATTCCAAAATTAAAAAGAACCATCCTCATAACCATGCAATGCGCCTTTCTGATTAATTTCTTAAAGCCGATATTCAAGTTGTAAAACATTTTACTGAGTTTTGATGCCGTGTGCACAATTGATAAAACATCTAATTTTGTATAATTTGTTTAATCCTAAACTAGGACATTTGTTTTGACTTTAAATACGTGGCTTCGTGATACACTCAGTTTATTTCCCATAGGAATTTATTAGGTCACAGCTGCCTTTTGGTTGTATTTAGTAAAGGGAGTGAATACACATCACTCAGCTGCTATAAAACCACCATTTTCTTTTCATCTCAAAAAGATGCACTAATTTGTGTTGGCTTATCCATTTTGATATAATTTAAAGCCAGGATAAAAATAAATACTTTGCTGATTATACGATTCCTACAAATACATGTTTGTGAAGCAACACCAACCTGCTCTAGAATCATATCGTATCATTTTAGAGTTCATACTGCAGTGTAGCAAACCCAAACATCAGTTTTTCCTGTAGGTCGCTGAAACGTATTGATCCAGTCTGGATCTTTTCTCCTGATCAGCTCAAAATGACTCGTCATCCTGCTCAAGCAGAAAAAACAACAACAAACAAACAAAAAAAAAAACACTCGCTTGCACTTGTTCCTTATTTTGTATTTATTTTTTCAGAACAATAAAAATAGTTTACCAAACAAACACTTCTTCATTCTCTCCTTTTTGACTTCTATTTACAGCAGAAAAAAACCAAACAAAAAAAAACAAAACAAAACAAGGGGAACAAAAGCAACGCCCGGTCGTGTCCATTTCATCTCTTCATGGCTCCGTTTGCACCCAGATCCTCCTCCTCTCAGCCTCTCTCCCTCGGCAGGCTTCTCAAGGAGCTCCAGGGCCTATTGCTGTGTCTGTGACGAGGTATACCGGCTCTTTAAGAAAAAGGTGAAGCTTTATTTTAAGCATTTATTTATATTTTTAGCTACTTGTTTAGAGATGCGAGCACTTTACCTGTTAGTATTTGCAACATTTAGCAGGTTAGGACACACGTCTTTCACTTAGTGGCGTGACTTTGGAAGATAAGACACACTGACCCCATGTTCAAACGGAAACGTTACATAACTGTTATACGGGAAGACAAGATAACAGACACGTTTCAGAAGCATGTTTTTGTCCAGCAGAGATTAAAAGGTAAAAAAAAAAAAAAAAGTTGGGTGAAGAAAGGGGGGTCCCTGAGGGAAGCGAGGAGAGATGATTTGAATGCACAAACAAGTCCTAACAGACGTACAGGAATAATGGAGCAGCAATGCTGAATTATCACACACACCTCTACAACAGTATGTGCAACCTTTGGACCTAACAGCTTCATGATACAGTACAGGAAGCACCTTTGAAATGTCAGAAAGAAATCAGGCCCTCACAAACCACGAATGTAGTTTCCCCTCTCATCTGGGGTGCGAACATTTTCAGCCTAAACGGAGTTTTTCTATTTAAGCTTTACATATGAAACACATAGGAGCTCAAAGAAAATCAGCAAACAAGTAAAGCTTGTTATTGCAGGTGTGGCCTCCGACTGCTGCCTCCCAGAATCCTTTGCAGGTGTTTATTAAAAATTTGGAAAAAAAAAAAAAGGAAAATTGAGGTGCGGGTGTTGATGTCTCTCCTCGTTAGCCGAATACAATCACTGATCTGAGCTAAGAAGCTGAACAATCACCAGGAAACAAAAATATGCCTGAGTAGCTGTGAGTATTGTGCACCTGATCAGACAGAGGTATCAGTACAGACAGACAGAAATGAAGAAAAACTTAGTTCAGCAGAGAAAGCATGCAAAACAGTGAGAAGGATTGCTGTGATTTAAGATCAACTTCAGAAACAGACTAAATCAGGAAAAGAAAAACTGTCAAAGTAAGAGAATTACGTAGTTCAGAGGTCTGCATGTAATAGAGGTGAAGTTGAGCACCGGCTCTATGGCTGCAGGTCAGCGGAGGGGTCAGGTGGGGGTCACTGGTCCGATCAGGTTGGAGGAGTCATGGCTATCAAAGCTGGCTTTCAGTGCAGAGCGGCAGGCTAGCACAGTGTTCAGGATGATGGCGTCTTCTTGTATCAGGGCAGACACACGGTCACAGAGCAGGAGGGTCAGGGTCACCCCCATGGGCCGGTCGGGTACAACCCATCCAAAGGCCTGGCCTTTAGTGTTCCCATAGTTCAGACAGGAGCTCCCAGCACAGTGCAGGTAGGAGAAAATGAGGCCGGATGCTCACATTTCAAATGTTTCAAAGGGGTTCCGTACATAATGTCAGGGGAGCAGTTGCTTGAATTAAGCCTCGCTGCTCATGGAAGGCAGCTTCAGTCGCGCGTTCTGAGCCCAGATCAGGACAGACGAAGAGGCTCAATAGTTTCTGAGAGTTAAATCCTCTTCTTCACTGGTCATCCCCTGATCCCAGGGCAACATGGCAATGTGCTCACTGCTCCTGCATCACAGACAATCATAGTTAGAGAAGAACGGGGAACAAAGTGCATTGCAAAAGCATCCACAACCCTGCACTGTTTTCACATTTTGTCATGTTAAAACCACAAACTTCAACTTATGTGACAGATTAACAAAAAGTAGTTATGCAATTGTTAATTGCAAGGAACAATTTACATGTTTTAACTTTTTTTTTTTTTTTTTTTTCACAAAACTCAGTGGGAAATTTCCCCCCCATTTTCTCTGATGCCCTTAAATAAAATGCAGTGCGCCTTCATAACTGACCAAAATCAGTATAAACACATCTGTTGTGTGAAAGCCTCTGATGTTTGTTAGAGAAAACCTCACAAGACCTTTTTCAGTCCATCGTTGTAAAACAGAAAAGAGTAAGGCCTGACCACAAAACCTACCAAAACATGGCCGTCCAGCTAACCTGACTGGCTGAGTTAGCAGCTCTCACAGCAGAAAGAGTAGCAACAATGCCAAAACCATAAGAGGTCCTGTTTGCAGCCTCGGATGAGATGGAAAACTAAGACACATCACCCCCCCCACCCCCAACCAACAAAAAATGAAACATGGCAGTGGTAGCATCATGCTGCAAGGATGTATTTCTTCAGAAGTGGCAAAGAAGCTTGTGAAAGTATTGACAAGGTGACTATTTGACGTTTGGTGACAACTGAAGGACCTGCACTTTAATTAGGGTTATCTTACTCAAAAGAGGAGAAATATGAAAACACAACAGTTTTCAGATTATTTGTGAAAATGATGCTTTATGAAAAATATGCTTCATCATAATTTCCCTTCCACATCCTTATGTGTATGTATTTTGCACAAAAAAACAACAAACTAATAAAATACATGGAAGGTTGTGGTTAAGACACAAAACTCGGAAGCATAAATAATTTTCAAGCCCTTTCAGGTAAACAAGGTTAAAGGTCAGTAATCATGCAGGAAAGTTAACTTGTTAATATGTCTGATTATTTGATTACTACATGGCTTACCTTTAATTTTTTATGTCCCTCTCCGTGAAAATAATAAAAAAAAAAAAAACTTTCATATTCCAATATTTCCAGTGGCTTGTAATTTTCCTTCATTCCTTCACTTCCACACATTCAACCCAGAGTGAGCTTAGAAGACGCCTTCAAAGTCCCAGAAGATCTTCGATTGCAAGTATCGTCTTCAAAGAAAATCGATCACCAACCAAACTCATCACTTTAAAAAATTCACCGTCTCTAATTTCTCCAGTGTTTGCATTTGTTCATAGCTTTTTGCTTCTTCTACCAACGTTGGGAAGAAAAGATTTTTTTTAAAAAGCACACCAAGAGCATCTTCTGTTTTACACATTTTTTTTTTTTTTTTTTTTAGGAAACATTGATAGTTTGTTGCATTAAAGGTACGTTTATACCCTATATTAATATATATAAAAAATTGTCTCCATAAATTATTCAACAATGTTCAGTAGATAAAATACCACTTGCATTTCTGTCCGGAAACACTCACTTTGTGCTTTCTGAAAACAAAACCAAGAACAAAAAATTGAAAAAGAAGCAGCTGATTTTTGCCGGAGGGTAATCCATATATATATTTGAAAAAAAGTGCCAGTTGAAATCTAACAGGTCTATCTGTGGCGGCTGGATATCCCGTTGCTATTTGCGGCGGCCGGTTCTTCAAGGTCGTCGTCCTCAAAACCGTGAAAGGTGGAGGTGTCGCTCTCTGAGGTGGTGCCAAACAGCTCCTCGGCTGCTGCGAATGTGCCGTCTTCCTTCTCCTCCCCACCACCAGCTGGGATGCAGAGCAGAGGGGGGGGCAACTTAGACCATGAGAACGTTACCTACGTAAACCATTCTGAGCATTTTGAAGTTGATGTAGGCGATTACTTTGTGCATAGGAGCAAGTTAACTTACTTGTGCATTGGCAGGCTGCGCAGGGAGACCCAGATTTACCCGTTTTCCTGTTTGCACCATGGCATTTATTACAGTAGTTGTTGGGAATGGTGGTTCCACCAGAAACCTTTGAACCTTGAAAAGATTTCAGGATAGAGTTCAACTTGAAGCAAGTTAGTTTTTTTTAAAAGACACATCCAAATGTGATCCTATTTGATGTGTTGTAAGGCATTTTATTTATATTGCACAATGCAGTTCAAAGTGCTTTACATGAATTAGAAGGAAATACAAACAAAACAACAAACCAAAAGAAAGAAAAGTATAAAACTACATATTGTTTAATAAGAATAAGTAGTCCCTATAAACTAGTAGGGGAATAGTATGAAACTAAATGTTGCTTCCAGTTGAGTTCTAGATTTGTACAATATAGAGCTAAATGTTGGTTCGCCATGTTTGATTCTTGTATCACAACAATATCCTATAACTTTGTAAATTTCAAAAACAAAAACACTGCTGTGTACTTTATGTGGTTGGTCAGAATTCATAAGTCATCATTATAAGATGGAACGTCATTTCATAATGCCATAATTACAATATAAAGTCATAGATTTTTCTTCCATTGCCTCAGTTATGAAAAAGTAATTTTTTTTTAATCTTCAAATTCATTATGAGAGTAAAAGTTTCATGAGATCATTTTATTCTTTGAAAAAAAACGTGACTACGTTATAATTTTAATAAAGAATTTATAATTTACACTTTTGCTGTCATTTGGTTTTTATAGTGATAATTATGTTACAAGTCTGTTATTAGATGCAAATTTAAATTTTTACTTTCAAAGTCATTTATTTTAAAACGACCTTTATTAAACACAAAGTTCTAGCTCTGTCTTTTAATAACTATAATTATGAGATACAAGGACATTTTAATTTCAAAGCCATTTTTAAGAGATTCAGTCATATTAATAAGACACAAATCTGACATGACTTATGACACAGAAACAAAGATCCAGAGTAATAATTTTGAAAAACAAGCTTAATATTTTGATTTTCAATTATATACTTCACATCTACAGAGTTATAAGTTTCACTTCGCATCTCTTAGTTGTGACCTAAAAATCTCAAAACTATGACTATAAAATTAAGAATTTCAAAAACAGATGTTCACACCTCACCAAATGTAAACCACTAGTACTTTACTACCAACACATTTCCCAAAGGCCAACATTTCAGAGCTTAACTTTGGGGGGTCTTACGTTTGTGCCGGTCAGTCTGTGGTGCAGTGGGGGAACGGGACGCCACCGTGCTTCTCTCCCCGGTTCTGTCCTCCTCGGCCAGGTGGGAATGAGTGTAGTGGTAACTGAGTCCTGTGCGGTTTCTGTATCGCTTTGTACAGACTGCAAAAAAAAAAAAAACAAAAAAACAGCACATTAAGCTCAACGTCTTGTTCATATTATAAACACAGCTCATTTTTATTGCGTCCGGAGGAAACAGAAAAAAAAAAAGAAATGACAGAGAGAATGACCCAAGGAAATATAGGAAGAAGCAAAAAAGGAAAGAAGGAAGGAAGGGTTCCAGTATTGGAGGAAGATTAAGATGCATCGCAGGAACGCATCTAAAAGTTGCCAAACAGTGGCTCTGGAGGTCTGGAACTGGAAACCCCTGATTATGACAATGAGGTAGAAAATAAAACCTGGAAATGCCAATATTTTCCTATACATATTTTTCTTTTCCACAAAAATCCAAACCTGGAAAACTTTTCCAGACTGGGTAAATACTCTGCTCTATGCTCCACACGGCCAGAGAAGCCCTGCTCACTTTGACAGTTTTTATTGCATGTTATTTAAAATACTTTATGGCTTTTACACTTTCTGAAGACCTTAGTACACCTTAATACTGGCACACTCAGTCCATAATACTTCCAAGCTTTGTAAAACTAAGTAACAAGCAACAGTGCTTCAACACGATTTAAAAAAGCTAAGTCAAAAGAAAAAAAAAAAAAAAAAAACAGAACCTGGGGCCAAAGTCTTTGAATTCTGCTTTTGTTTGTATCTGTCTGAAACAAAAGAAAATGACAGAACAAATAGAATGAAAATTGGTTACACAAGAAGACACACTGCAGTAAAATCCAACACCCTCTTGCTTGGATTTTCCACATGCAACTTGAATATGCAGGGACACCTGAGGTGATCATGACACAGGTCGCCTGGTTTCAGCTTAAGCGAACCAGCTGGATGCGACTGCATTAAGTCTGGGACTTCATGGTCTGTGTTTGTTTTTAAACTTCCTTTTGTTTTGGTTTTTTTTTTTTCAAAAAAGAACAATAGTTTTTCTGCAAAATACAGCAAGCTCATTATGTGCACAAAGAGTACTTTGAATGAACAAGTATTTATTTTTGCATATGTTATTTTCTGAAAATCATGACTTTTTTCTCCGCTTACTGTCACAGACATATGGCTTATCATCATCCAGATCTGTCCTCCTGCGGCCTGAACCCCGGCCCTGAGCAGAAGAAACAATAAAGTTGCTATTAATGACTCCAACATACACATTCAACCTCCGGGCAATTGCACAGATTTAAATATCATTACAGAAGAAAACTGCCACTTCAGTAGATGATTGCAGAGCGCCCTCCAGCTACTTACTCTTCCCTTTCCTCGATGTCTCCGCTTGGGAGTGTCCACCTCGTAGTCATCGTCGTCATTGAAAGCGTCTTCTGCTGCATCTGCTTCAAGAACCCTCTGAAACAGAAAGACAGAGAGATTTGAATGGAGCTGTAAATATCTGAAGCACAATTTGATATTTTAAAACAGCCAACAACCTTTTATTTTAATTTTAGTTTTAAATGGAGAGAGCAGCTTAACAGATTCCTGTTTCCTGTAAACAAGCCTGTTTCCACATGCTTCTGGTGGAATGTGTGATACTGAGATAAGTTTAGGTTTACCAAAGTCTTCACTGATAAAATAATGGACAAACAAAACAAAACAAAAAGAGCACTGAAGCTTTCTATTTTCTCTATATCTGACCCCAACATTTTATGTCAACTGCTCATCACCCAGATACATTTACTAACCAGGTGTGAGGCAGTCTGCCTCTCCAGCTCTCAGCTAACAAACTATGCAGGTTAGTTGGGAAAATTTAGCTGATTTTGTTTTGCAAACATTTAGGTTACATCGCTATCTGTATAACCTGGATCTCTAGCAGGCTCTCCTCATCATTCTTGGAGTTGTTCCTCTTGTCCAGACCTTCTCCTCGCAGAAGAGCCTCCAGTGTGGTGCCCTGGGTGGGCAAAGTGTCTCTGGACATAAGGCCACCATCTGATCGAAGGACAAAAGCGACTTATTAGGAATCATACGAATATCGCAAAGGAAAATGATCCAATCCTCTAGCCTTTGCCATTTATCCTCAATAAGGACTGACTGAATCCGCAGTTATTGGTTTCACATTGGCATAACACAGATAAAAACACAGTATCTAATTCTCCAATAGTAAAACATGGTGGTGGCAGCATCATGCTCCAGGGATGCTTTCCCAAAAAAAAAACATTCCTAATTTTGATGAGAAAATACATGGAGCTAAATAAATGGCAAATTTGGAAGAAAGCTGCAAAAGACTTGAGAAAACTTTCACAGGATAACAATACTAAACAGAGTTAAAATACTGCCAACATCATGTGTTTGCATGGCCCAGTCAATGCCCAGACCTAAATCCAATTGAAAATCTGTGGCAAAACTTGAAGACTGACATTCACAGACATCCTCCATTCAGTCTGACTGAGCAGTTTCATGACGAAGAATGAGTAAAAATTTAGTTTATAGATGTAGTAAGCTGGTACAAACAAAACCTGCAGCTGCATTTGCAATAAAAAGGCGATTCTATGAAACACCGAGTCTGGGGGAATGAACACAAATGTGAGCCACAATTTCCAGAATGTTATTTGGCATTACAAACCTTAAAACCATGTATTATTTTCCAAGTACTTTGTAATTTTCTAACAAATTAGGATACACTGAAGCTTCAGCTTTAACATGATAAAATGTGCAAACATTAAAAGGGTTGTGAATATTTTGCAAGGTATTTCCTCCTACAGTGTGTTTATGAACAAATATCGTAGGAGGCGAGCAGGTTCTGTAAAGCAAACAAAAGTGTGACAGGCAGACAGATCTTAGTCACACAAACTCTTTCCAAAAGAGAGCTGCATGATCTTTCAGTTGGTTTATGGATTGTAGCCACTTCAAAAGCCCAAGTCCCCCCCCCCCCCACTATCCAGCTTTCCATCAGCCCTTCATGTTACAACTACACACTAGAGAGACTTTTTGCTGAATATTAAGACATAAAAAAACAGCAGACTGCAGAGGTATGAGGAAGACAAAAGGTAGGAGTAAGGAAAGCAGATACCACGTGGCAGCAGCCCCTCACCATTGTGTCTGCACACGTTGACTTTCAACTCTCCGCGACGAGACAACCCCCCCCCCACCCCTCAGCCACCTCCACCCTCGCTCGTTCTCTCCCTCCCTCCGTCTAAACCCAAGGGAGCTGGGGGGCTAAAAATAGAGCTGGCAGCAGCCTGCAGCAGGGAGCTGATTCTGCATGCAGCCCCAGTCTCTTTAGCACACCATCAGTTAGACAGCGACACAGACGCTGGCTGCTGCCCTGTGCCGGCCACCTCTGGCCGGGTGCGCTACGTGCTCCGTGGACGACACGCCAGGTTCAATCAGGCTTCGTTTCACCTCTGCCGGGCTCCTGCAGACGGCACGTATGCAAGCCATTGTTGTTGGAGAGGGGAAGGGACAGCTGGTGGTGGTGAAGCCTAAGCCAGAGCGGGTGCAGAGGAAAACAATAGACAACAATGGGGTGTTTTTAGGAAACAAAGACTCAGCTCATGAGTTATTGCAGGATTTTGCTATTCTACTCCAAGATGCTTTTTTGCCCCCTCATTTTTTCAAACTTTCCAAAAATTGGGTTGGGTCTTAGGGATTTCTGCTAACACATGATAATGTTGCATCTTTTCACAGAAACTGTTGAAAAGATAAAAAAAAAAAGATGAGTTTGCATGAAAATCCCTCACATCCCCCCCCAGATTTGGGAAACAGAATGGAGCGGCTGCACGAGCTCAGCAACACTAGTCACAACACGGAGTCCGTCGTCGACTAATGCTGTGATAAAAGCCTCAAAAACAGAACAACAAAACCAATCAGCAAGGGAGCTGGAGAGTAGAAAACAGGCAGAAATGTAGAGGACAGCTGGAATGTGTTGAGTGAGTCGTTTCAAGTGGCAGCCACAGAAGGCCAAACTCCATTCCCTAACATTTATTAAATACTGTCTACTGTGGCCGGCCTCTGTCTCTACGCTCCCAGCAGTGGTAAATCTAATTACGTGTTCTACTTCTCACAAAACAAGTTTACCAGCCGTGGAGGACACAGCCACATTTCATTTATCTTCCGGAAAGAAGCAAAAATATCTGCCATCCCGCTCTGCGCGCTGAGAGAGAGTCATTCGCTTGTGGTGAGATCATTTCAGATCAGCACCAGTGATTTAGAAGCTGGTAGGAGGCGGAGAGTCAGGCGGGGGGGCGGAGATGGATGGGTGGGTGGGGAGGAGTCTTACCGAGCTGAAGGCCATAGATGCCCAGGCGGGGGTCCGTGGTATTGTGGAGCCGCCTCTTCTTCCTCCAGCAGCGAGCGGGGTATGTGTACATCTGCCCCGCTGCAACACCTGCAAAAGTAGATGCACACAGGTAAGACAGTTTCACCTCTGCAGCTGAAACTCCACACATGCAAATGGTCTGGTTGTAAAGAACAATTTAAAAAAGGCAGCAGAATAAACTGTAATTTTTAGCTTAACTAGCTGAATTAGGTAGGCAACTCAAAATCCAATCGTTTTCTGTTTGGAGTTGAAGATGCTGCTGAGGGAAGAAGACCTAAATCTGTGTTTTCTACCAAAGTAGTTCCAGTAGTTGACCATTAAATAGCTAATGCTAAATTTAGCTATTTAGCTGGCTTTAAAACTGGTTCTACCAAAGAACCAGTTCATTTTCGACGAACCAACAAACCAGCTCGCTAGCACATCATTACATCCCTAAAATCGCCTCACGTAAATATTTGATCCAAATAGTTCTACTCTTTATTTACTTTTCTAGAGGGCAGGAAGAAAGTTTAATCTCACAAATTAAAACATTCAACTTATCACTGTAAACAGATGACCTAACATTACCACTATAACTTATCAGTTATACTGATGATATTAAAAGGTCATGGTCAATTTTATCTTTAGGCAATGCTCATGCATCGACTCTCTTTAAATAGCAGGAAACAGAAGAGCACTTTTATTCCGCTACTAATTCAAATTTTTCTTATAGTTTTGTTTAATCTCTTTCCAAGTTCTGCAATAACAAAATGACATCATTTTGTTCTTGCAAATTTGTTCTCGACACGTCATCTGGGCATATTTTTTTTCTTTTGTAGTGTCCAACAACTATTGCCTGATTGGTACACAGACAAAGGTTGCAGTGGGAGGAACCAATGAGGATTTCTGCACTTGACTTCTTATGAAGTATGAAATGCACTGGCCAAATTGAACTTTAGTCCTGTTCATGCTACTTAAAGGGAAAAAATAAAATACTCCTAAAAAAAAACTGTTTATCCTCTGGCCTAGCTAACAGTTGATGCTGTTAGCTTAGCTTATCAAACCAGTGGTTTGATAAACCAAACCAGAGGCTGCAGTACTGAAAACACAATTAAATGGTTCTAAGCAAGAACTAGGACCAGTTTAGCAAGGACCAGTTTAGCAGTGGAACTGGTGGAAATGCATCCAATGCTGACATCTTTAGATTGCAATGCATGTCTGTGGTTCATCTTGGCTCCTATTTCAAGAGAGACTGAGACTGCAAGGATGAAGATATGGCAGTAAAGTTGCTCTGTTTTATCCTTTTGAGCTTCTAACCCGTCTGTTATGCAACATGCTGGATTTGGAAATACTGGCAATTTTCTGGAAATTTCAGAGTAAGGATCTACATTCTCTAGGCAATACATGCAGGCTGCTTTTAACAGGACCGATGCTAACAGTGCAGAAGGCCCTTTAAAATGTCATCCCAAAAATGATTTTTTTTCTTAGTTTTAATGCAACAGTAAAAGTATGTTTTACAGCAACTACTTTCAATTCATCACCTCTTCTTCCATTAAAAACAAAGACAGGAAAGCTAAAAAGAAATATCTTAAATGCAGCTCTCCAGCAGTCACCCCAAGATCACTGTATGGAATATGAATAGAGCAAAGAACTGCTTAAACTGCATTAAGTATTAGCATACTGTATAAGTACAATACATTAATGACCTCTATGCATGTAATATATTTGTCGATGCTTGCTTACTGTAGCAGAAAATGTTTTCAAGCACATAAGATGTGCTATTGTTATTAAGAAACTTCAACTAAGTTTTGCTGCCAAAACAGCAGTTGTAGGCAGATGAAATATTTTCCATAAAATGATTCTGCTTGGAAAATCTGGTTAGACTGCTCACTATCTGGGACCTACTGCATGTTTGCAAAGCAAAAAGAAGTCAACACTGTCTTCATATGTCTGTTTATTATTGTTTATTGCAAGTCACATCCCCACTGCAACATTCACCAGCAGTACTGTGTGTTTTCTTGATCTTTACCACAAATTAGTCTCTTAAAACCTGTTTAAAGACTTCTTTCTCTCTTACAAGAAGTCTTTGAACTTCTTGAAAGTAGTTCAAAGACTTCTTACAAGTCTTTAATTATAATTTACAATTTCAAAATTCTGTTAGAAGGAAAAAAATAGCCTATATGATCTCCACATGATGAGGTTGGAGTCAGAAATTGCCTGGACAGATTCTTTAATAAATACAATTATGATGACAGTCAGTACGGGCTGAGATCTGTGTATAATGGGCTGTTACTTAGAGAGCAAATAGCAGGTTTCTCCACAGTGAGTCAGGGAGATTATTACGGATCATCAGAAAAAAATTCAGCGCGTAGTCTGCAACAAGTCTCACACATTTTATTCACTGCTGTGAACAGCAGCCTCCAGAGTATAAAAGTGCAGCCTGACCCAGAACAGGGAGTACATCGCTCTGTGAATTCTGTGCCTCTTTGTGTGTGTGTGAGTGGGGGGTGTGTGTGTCGTCCTACCAGGGCTTCGGTGGTGGCGCTCCATCCAGATGTAGCAGTTGTTCTGGGCCACGCCAGTCTGAGAGTCCAGGAACGGCAGGCGGACGCTGCGTTCGGCACACAGGCGGGCATTGTAGCTGCGGCACTGCTCAATGGCGTCCTTATAGAACTGGTCGCCCAACCTTCAGCAGAGAACAACAGAGGTAAAGGCCACTGACAGTGTGCTCACATGCAGAACACAAACAAGCAATCACTTTACAGGATAACAGTAATTTCAATGTGTAAGCACATGAGCAAACTGGCATTCTGCTGCAGAGATCGTTTTGGTTATTGTGTGCCGAGTTTCTGCTGTTTCTGTGAAATAAATGGAAGATTTTTAAGAGTTTTTTCACAACAATTGTGATGAAAAATTTAAACTAAACTTCACTAGAGACAGCTTAATTAAACTAAAAAGTCATATTGAATTGACCCAACTAAAGCAAGTTAAATACAAATTGGTTAAATTAAGTTTGCCTTTATTTCAAGCTTGGGCATGTGACTCCAGTTCTTTCTGTACTTATAGGTAAGAAGGTTTTAGACCTTCACTTCCTAAACCAACTACAATAAAAGAGCCTTCAGACATGAATCTTGTGGTTTGTAGAGAGGCTGAATGTCTGGCTTTAAACTCCTTCTGTTTACTAATCTAGTCCATGGGCTTTGTAGTTGTGTCAAAGGGTGATATTGCCAAAATTCCTTAGCCAAAACCAAGACACATGGGTTAAATGCAGAGGCTGCACTTCTCCAAAAAAGAAAAAAAAAAGAAAAAAAAAACACGATGGAAGAACCATTGAAAGAAAAAAATTCAAAAAAATTAATAAGTTTTTGAAGTAGGAGTGGACACTTCTTTTAATATGCAATGTTGTTAATTTTAAGATTCTTAATTGATTCAGAATTGATAAAATTAGTTTCTTAACTTAGTTAAGTTCAAAATTATTCATAACCTTCAAAGTTGATTTTCAGTCATTTGACAGAAATGTATTTCTGATATTTGACCAGCTTCTTTTGTTGATCATCTTTTTTGTGATTTTTTTTTTTGTTTTCTTGAAAATTAAGATTCATATTTTATGCATTTCATCCACTTTATTATGAGTTTATTGCAAACCAGATAAAGTATGAATCCAAGTATGAATTTGAGCTACTGCTGACGGTCAGCAGGCAGAAATAAGGCCGCTACACTACTCCCTGCTATTTAGATACATTTCCAGGGAGCATAAATGACATCAGATGGAAAGTAAAATCTTCCCATGTTAATTTAATAGTGTTATTTACATATTTATTTAAATCAAAAATAATAGTCAATAAATGTCATTAAGTCCTCCATCTTTTCCTCTCAGGGTCATGAAGCTGATACAATCTTATAATGGTAATAATCAACATGCTATATCAACTGCAGCAGCCAAAAGTGTTTCTTTTCCATCTTAAATTTTCAGCAGCATAGGAATTTACAACAAAAACTTATAGAATGACCTATGTGTGTATCACAGTACTGTGAAAACACAATATATATTTTTTTTAATTTAGAATCTCATTGACATAACAATAAAGACATTTCTGTACACATCTGTTCACACTATTCATCTTCCAGTCTAACATTAAGGAGAAATTATGGACAAACCCCCCCTCCACCACCCCGAAAAAGCAATGCAACCCAATTACAACAGTTCAAAAATGCTGCTGCTCCCACTGTTAAACACATTATTACCTCTGTGGACTGAGCTATGCTGCTGCTGACTGTGTGTGAAGCTCATCACCGAAACAAAGACTCTGGGGGTTGATCTGAAGTCACTCCTTTGACCGACAAGCAGCTAAGACTGTCGCAGTTTAGCTCCACTTTTCTTGGTGCCACTGAGATTTTGGCAGTCCCTCAGGGTTTCAGTGTTAATATTCAGAGAGAAATGGGGGGTGGCTATTTCACATTCAAGCCTTCAATCTCTGCCACACGCCTGGTATGGTAATTAGCCTACTTAATTAATCTCAGCAGAATTCCTTGCACAAGGGCAGCTTCTGATTTACACGAGAAAAGATGGGAAAGAGGCAGCAACTCTTGTGACAAGGTGGTTTGTGCACCTTTTAACAGTTTGTTGTTCAATTACAGGGCCCAAAAAAAGGCAAATCAGAGCAAGTGTTTATTCTGGAATATCCTCCATGTGTTTTCAATTAGCAGGGCGGCCATTTTGAAGTGAAACTAATGAGCTGTAGGTTGTGAGTCATAGTGCAACTCTAAAGCTGAGACGAAGAAGCTGGAAGGGCGACTTTTCTGCATCCTTCATGCCTTGATCTTGATAAGGAAAACATCCAGCAGAAGGACAGCCACATCACGGACGCTAGACCTTAGAAACTCAAAGCTCTGGAGGAAAAACAAAGCTGTGTGTGTTTGAGTTACAGGAGAGAGGAAGCAGTCTCAGGTTCAGCAGGAGCACAGGCGAAGGTGAAGAGGCGTGAAGATGAGAGATGAAGAAAAAGGAGGCGGCAGGGGGGTGTAAAACAGCAAGCAGGCAGGTCAAGAAAAAGGCACACGGTACTGAATGCATTTCTCCATATTCTGATCTAATCAAGATATTTAATCTACTTAAACTAAGACTAATATTTCTTTCCACATCATTTCCACTTTCTTTTCATTTCACACTTAAAAACAGCTAGTAGAAGTGGTTATGAGCTCACTGACTTAGTCACCGACTTCAGACAAATATTTGACTCATAAAAATTACCACCACCAAGCTAGCCATAAAATGTCTGAACAATCAAATTTGTACCATGTGTTGCCTAAAAGTAGAGCTCCAATAAGAAGCTCTACTTTTAGGCAAAAGTAGTCACTCTTGTTTACATCTGGATGTAAATTACACAAAAACAAACAGGGGATGTGAACTTTCTTCCTCCAGAATGGAAACATTTAAAACTATAAAATGCAGCAAAGAGTTTTATAATTTTACAAAAGTAATCTTGTTTTGATTTTGTAAAAAAAAAATGTGTTCCCTAAACCTCTTTATTGGTTGTGCAACCCTTTGCACCAACATCCATCATGAAGCGTTTGTGATGACTGGCAGAGAGGATTTTACATCACCGTGAAGGAATTTTGTTTAAATATTTAGCTGTGGCCTTGCTGGTGTGTTCTGGATCACTAATGCATAAACCAACTGCGCTTCAGCTGAAATTCACACATTGATGAATGTTTTTTCGGGATTTTCAGCTAGTGGTTAAAATTACTAGAGCCATAAATCAAAAGAACAACTTTTGTCTCACCGTTTTATGAGATATTTTGCCAAAAGTCTTGATAAATATGTTTTTAGAAAACATGAGATGAGCTTTTAGGTAGCCCTATGTGGAAAAAGTCAATGTCCTTTTTTGTAATTACTTTTTTATAAAATCTGATTGATGATACAAATTAAATAACACACACACACACACACACACAAAGAATTAATGCTGAGGGTGAACCAACTGCAGTTTTCTGACCGATCATCAATCTTTAAAAAGCCTGATCAACCAATACAAATTTAGGCCAAAACCATTTTTCTTGTCTGAAAAGTGTGAACATTGCAAGTTGGTAGCTACACACATGCAGACATGACCCAGTGGACAGGTCTGCCAGTTGTTCCCCTCTCACATCAAAGGCCACAGTGGGTGATTTGTAGACCTTTGCATAGGTAGGTATGATTAGTGCAGAAGATTGGCTTCACATGTATCAGCCAATCGCCTAAAATTTAGGAAACCCTGGCTGATTTATTGTGCAGCCCAAATTAAAACCATGGAGCTGTCTCATAAAATACATGAACTGTCAAAATATGCCATATGTTCCCTGATACCAGAGCAGATAAAACTAACTCACGTGCTTTACTAACACTAACGTCGGCACACAGCTGCTATCGGACATAAGCTTTGCTGAAGTCTACGTCAAGAAACTTCAGATGGCTCAGGTAATTGGCACAGAGGTTTAGAGAGGGTTGGATGAGTAGCAAAAGGACAGATGAAAAAGTGGAAGACGACTGTCTGTGCAATGAGACGTCCTCAATCAGAGGCCTGCCACTTCAAGCAGCAGTGCACCAGCTAAGGTGAGAGATCTTTCTGACACCTGTAATGAGTGACAAGACCTACATGCCCAACGACACAGGAGATGAAAGAGACCCACACCACCTCCAGACAGCATGTGTTGCTTTTATCCCATTCTCAGACATTTATCTTTCTGTTCTGCAACTTTTAGGACATTTTCAAACAGCAGCAAAGTTTACAAACCAACAAAACAACAGTTACAAACTAATTCAGCTTTCACAAAAGTGCAGACGTGAGTGCCAAGATTACAAAAGTGAAGCAACAAGCTGGATAAATAAAACACTATGTGCAGCATAAAATTTCAACAAGCCGAAAAGAATAATGGTGCAATCTATTTATACTGAGAGGTTAGGAAAGTCAGAAATGACTAAATAGCCCTGAATTTAGTACTCAATAAGGTTTTTGCACACATAAAATACAGTGAAAGTCACATGCAGACAAATTGGGACAAATTCCTACCTTCCAGTCTATTCTAATGTGAAAACTGTGGAAAATAAATGCATACACTTTAAAATAGAAATGGGATTTATGGCTTATTGAAAAAGTTGTTGAAAAGACTGCTTCAGTTTTCTATGAATTGATTTTTAGGAAACTTGTTTTATCTAAGGAAATTTGTGAAAAGAAGCACAGGGTAGGATCGGATTTTTTAAGTGGTGAAACAAATTATTTACCTAGACTTCAGTGAAATTTTTATGACACATATTGCAGCGTGCTTTACAGTTTTTGTCTTAAGAAAATGAATCCAGAAGCTGCGCATTCTCTTTGACTTTGGCCATTTTCATTGACGTATTCCCCATGTTCCTGTTAGACTGCTGTGTACTCGGCAGTCAATTGAAGGCTGTGTGGGCAGGTCTGCTGAGGTAATGCATATCAAATGAGCACCACACTTGAAATCAGCTGTGCTTTTTCCCTTGAGCCCGTTCTCTGTCTCAACCGGTGTAGCAGCAAAGGAGGAGCTTACTCCTTTGCTGTGTGAAATGCTGCAAAAAAAAAAAAAAAAAAACAATAAAAAAACTTGCAACTCAATTATTGTTCTTGTTAATGTGCCGGCTAACACATTGGTTTCTTTGTAAATGTGAAGGCTGCACTAAATTTT